AGTCTTTAAGTGGACATTTTAAAGATAGGTCACATTTGGCTGTAGATTCTACTAGGGGCTAAATTATAGGGACATTCTAGAGGCTTCTCTAGGCGTTATTTAAATACGTAATTACAGTACCCTAGTGTCTCAGCATTTCAGAATTGACTGGATGGCAGTGGGTTTGGTTTTTTGGTTAAAAATCTGACCAGGTTTTAGTTCTTTTTTTACCTTTCCTGTGTGTTTTCTGTCAAGTGAGCACACCAATGATCATAAAGCACATGCTCCTTTCATCTCTCGTCTTTAATGCAGCTGGCTCCTGAGACCAAGGCTGTCATCCACTGGATTATGGATATTCCTTTTGTGCTCTCAGCCAATCTCCACGGAGGAGACCTTGTGGCCAATTACCCGTATGATGAGACACGGAGTGGTAGGTGCTCTTCCTGCTCCTCTAATTGGCTCTAGTTTACAGTTATTATACAAGGGCTTGTAAGATCATTTCTGTCCTCTTCTTGAAAAGAATCTGGTCACTAAGTGATATTGCCTGTAGAAACAGATATATTTAGCAGAAACATCTCCTACCTCTTTCATATAGTGTTAGAATATCTATTTGGCAGAGAAGGATTGTGACATTTTTCAAATATTTAGTTGATGTGAAGCATGATCTTGACAGAATACTTAGATGAGAGAATAAGCCAAAAGAAGCCATGGATGTGGGTCATTCCTGGACCCTGGTAATTGGACAGGTTACAGAAGTTACAGGTGGTTTACAACGTGGCTTAAAATGTACTTGATCCAGGCCTCTTTGGATCTCTACACGTGTGTCATCATGCTCTGCCACTTCTGCAGCTGGAACGTTTCTGGGGGCATTGAGGAGGGGAAGTAGGGCTTGACTTTGTCTAACTAATTTTAGTTAAGGTCAGGCAAAGCAAGTTTTAGCCAGATGGGCCTTTTCAACTTAATTTTTGTTGCTCCAAGAAATTTTCTCCTTTGAATCCATTCTCAGGGATCTTTGAAGAGTCAGCACTTTGTAAACACAAGGATGATAATTTTAGATATTATGGAAAACTTTGAGTTTTGAGTGAAACAATTGTTCAATAAATTTAGAGTTTTTTTTTAAATTTAGAGATTTTATGGTATGTCAGTGGCTGAGAAACTTATAGTCCTGGCATATTCTATCAGATATGGATAAGAATACATTGTATCAAAATATATATGATGCATTTCCATAACACCCATTGGGGCTTTTAATAAAATTCTAGAATCAGATACTGATGAGCATGAGAGCAGTTCATAGTGGCTATGAGGTTGGTGGAAGTGCATTTTCTTAACTAGAAGGTTTAACAATGGAAACCTCCTTGCTGTCTCTCCAGCTCCAGTGTACCATAGCTTATCACCTCTTCTTGTGAATCTCTAAATTCATAGGTGGAATGTGTATTCTACCGAATTTGCACTTCCATCAGGAATGGCAGTTATCTCACCTAAAAACTAAATGAAGTTGTTGAGTACTTAAACATTCACCCATGTCCCACGGCGACGCAGCTAAAAAAATATGTCAGCAAGAGCTCAAAACTGAATCATGATTCAGAAAACGCAGTGGTGCTTGGTCTGAGTCAGTATCGTTTATCTTGGTGGATTCATTTTCTAGGTAGTGCTCATGAATACAGCTCCTGCCCGGATGATGTTATTTTCCAAAGCTTGGCTCGAGCATACTCTTCTTTTAACCCAGCGATGTCAGACCTTAATCGACCTCCATGCCGCAAGAATGACGATGACAGCAGCTTTGTAGATGGGACAACCAATGGTGGTGCTTGGTACAGTGTACCTGGCGGTGAGCGTCCATTTCTCTCTCTCTGATGATGTAATCGTGGCTTAAAACTGCCATTTAGATTTAGAGAGTAACTTGTATTTAGAGAATCTTTAATCCTGCTAAATCATAAAGAAGTAGACTGAACCTGTAGTTCATCCTATGAGTTGGAATTGACTCGACGGCAGTGGGTTCGGTTTTTGGTATAGTTCATCCATTAAAGTTAGTTTTCAACGTGAATGATTACCATACATAGTTTTGTTTTTATTGTTGATTTTTAAATCAGTGCTAACTAAAGAGATA